TTAGACAAAGTTTGAAAACAATTGCCAAGTTTGTCCAGGTGGACTTGATGTTGTTGACGTGGATATGAAATGTTTTAAAACAAAACCCCTTTTGAACTGACTTTCCATTACCCAGAAGATAAGAGGATTGATGGTAGGGGTAAATTCAATGAAGCATTAAAGACGATTCAAGGATTGTTCCAGACGCGAAGGATTGAAGACGCGGAGGATTGATGGCGAAGGATTGAAGACGATTGAAGGAGACATTATCAAAAGGTTAGTCCGTTTCTCTCTGATTTAGGGTTTACGAATCTCATAGGGCAATATCTGCTAGAGGTTCAGATTTAGGGTTTATGTAAATTTTGTAGTGTAAACTCTAATTATTTAGATAATATGATTAGGTATCATGGATGAATACATAACTCTCAAAATTCATCATAGTGGTGAGTTCACTGATGAAGGTCGTAGTGTATATGAGCATGGAGTAATAGATGATTTGAGAGTAGATGCAGACAAATGGAGTTATTTTGAGTTAGTTGGTGTATGAAAGACTTGGGTTATAGAAAGTTTGAAACAATATTTTACAAGGACCCTCAATTTGGGATGAATGTACTTGTTGATGGCAATGGTGCTTTAGAAATTGCAGATCTTTATAGGGCGCACCAAAATGTTGATATTTATATTGAACACACCTTGTCTCAACCTGACTACTATGATGCTGTTGTTGATGAAGTTGATGAGGGTCCTGCTAAAATTATAGATGAGGTGGAGGAGTTACTTAGTCAATTGCATGATGAAGTTGTGGGAGTTGAACAAACCACTATTGTGATGGAGGAAGGTGATGTTAGAGTTGATCAAGCCACAACTGGGTTGAAGGAAAGTAATGTTGGAATTAATCAAGTGAATCCTACAGTGGATGAACATACTGTTGGAGTTGAGGAAATTAATGTTGGAGTTAAACAAGGTAAACCTGCAGGGGAAGAATGTAATGTTGGAGTTGAAAAAGGTAAACCCGCAGTGGATGATGACTTAAGTTTATCTTTTGATGATAGTGAAGATGAGGAATACAATTATGATAGTGCACAAGAAGTGGCTTTTGAGGATGAGTCTGATGGGTATGATGAGATTGAGGAGGATAAACTTGATACCCTAACTGGTCATGAAAATGATGGTAATGGAGAAGTCCAAGAACTTAATGATAAGTCTTTAGAATATAAAAGGAGTGACAATGACAGTGAGGACATGTAAAGTGGCTGTGACTGTGATGATAGTAGTGGAGTTCTAAGAAAAAAACATCTAATTTTCAAACAGGCAAAAGACATGTCAGATTACAAGTGGGATGTGGGAATGTATTTTAGTTCAAAGGGTGATTTTAGGGAAGCAATAACATCTTATGCTGTGCAAAATGGTAGAGACCTAAAGTTTGTAAAAAATGACAGAGTTAGGGTAAGGGTTAGATGTAAAGTTGGTTGTGAGTGGGAGGCTTACTGTAGCAAGTTGTCAAATGAAGACACTTGGTAACTCAAGAAAGTAATTGACAAACATAGTTGTAGTAGAGAGTATAATGTGAAGCTGATGAGTACAAAGTGGTTGAGTAAAAGAATTCAGAATAGCTTGAAAAACAATCCAAGGTTGACGTCACAAGCACATACACCAACAACTGGCTAGTAAGATATGTAATATCAGCATACATTAATTCTTTAGGATGCCTATAACATACAATCCAAACATGTGACTCATATATTCTGTTTGTTTAATTCTTTAGGATGTCTGATGAACATATATTTGAAGTAAGACACTTGGAAAGTCAAGCTAACAAATTTCTTGTGAACCTGAAAGATCATATAAGTTCATGCAGAAGATGGGAACTCACAGGACTCCCATGTGTTTATGCTTTGTCTGGTATGAAGAGTAGGAATTTCAAAATTGATACTTACATTCCAGATTATTATAGGGTTTCAAGGTACAAGGCAGTTTATAAGCATGCAATCTACCCTGTTAATGGGTCAAACTTGTGGGTTAAGACATTATATCCAGATGTGCAACCACCCAAGTTTAAGAAGATGCCTAGTAGACCTAAAAAGAGGAGGAACCTAGAACAAGGTGAAATTGATGGGTCTGATTGCAAATTAAGAAGAACATGTTTTATGGTGAAGTGTAGTAGGTGTAAGAAAGTAGGACACAACAAGTCTATATGTAAGGACCCAACAACTCAACCTACTCAACGATCAACCCAACACACTCCTACTCCAACAACTCAGACTACTCAACAACCAAGCCAACCCTCTCAGAACACAACAACACACACTGCTAAGGGAATTTCTACTCAACAATCTAGCCAAGCATCTCAGACTTCTAAGGGAAAGGCTGCTCAGAAGACACATGGACTTGCTAAAGGCAAGACACAAAAGCTGCCTGTTAGGAAGCCAACAAGACCTTTTGTACCACCTGGACTTACAACTAGGTTGAGTGCTGCCAAGAATGTTGTTGGCCCAGTAACAAGGAGGTCTACTCCAACAAAGAGGACCACGCCAAAGAAGAACCTCTAGATATAATTAGGCTATCATGTCATGTGGAGTCACTTTATGTATTTTGCTGTATAATTAGTTTATGTTTTTTGCTGTTGTTTGGAACATGTGTATTATAAGTTTATGTATCCTACTGTTGTTTGGAACATGTGTGAAATAACTTTATGTATTTTGTAGAACATGTGTATTAGTTTGTGGACCTGTTATGAAATGGAACCTGTCATAATGTTGTGTTAAAAGCAGAACCTATTTATGGAACTGTTATGAACTTTATGTTAAAAGCAGAACCAACTTATATGTCATAACGTTTATGGACCTGTCATAATGTTGCGTTAAAAATGTAGACCAAGTTAAAAGCAGAACCAACTTTGACAGGTCTATAACATACCAAGTAATCATAAAACATAACATACCAAATATAATTTATAGGTCATTGTGTGTTATATAAAACACTTATATATCATTGTGTGTTAAAATCAAGCTAATATTTAACAGACCAAATATTGGATTCATGTAAAAATAACATAATCTTTAACAATGCAGACCAAGTTAAAAGCATAACCAACTTTGACAGGTCTATAACAGACCAAGTAAACATAAAAACAGAACATACCAAATAGAATTTATAAATCATTGTGTGTTATATAAAACACTTGTAGGTCATTGTGTGTTAAAATCAAGCTAATCTTTAACTATTACATTCATGTTGAACTGATACAATCCAAAACTAAAACTGATACATTCATGTTGAACTGTAAAAAGTAAAATTAAAAGAATCCAACTATTACATTCATGTTGAACTGATACAATCCAAAACTGATACAATCTTTAACTGGACTTAAACCTAATTCTTACAAACAAAAGATAAGTTAATTCTTACAAACAAATCATAACATACTACTTCCAAATAAACCTCAATACCCTAACTAATTCTAACAGCTAATACAATGATAATCATCACAAACATCAAATTCAAAATCTTTTTCCACTTTATGATATTCTTCATTTCACTTTCAAGTTTCATCAACTTTTTTCCCCTAATTCTTCATTCTCCACTGTCACTTTTTCAATGTCTTTTTTTCCTTCAGCAAGTCCCTTAGTTACCACACCCAACCTATGCATCCAGAATTGCTCCTTCTCATCACCCACCTCCTTATATAACCAACCAAAGAAACCACACCCAACTTGCATACCTCCTTGAAATTTTCATTGTTTAGAGGTTACCTACAAAATGTAACTTAAACAGAACTTATTAACAAATTAAAAAACCTTGCATACCTTATAACTTGGACAATCCCAGAAAAGTTTTCCCATATTCTTAACAGTAGTTGCCCTTTGAAGAACAACCATGTCTCCACAATGGCATATGGGCTTCCATCGTGACCTACTACAAACATCTGAATCTCCACTTTCCTGTTTAAACATGGAGGACGAACAACCAGATTTCATGCTTGTCAAAACAAAAACCCTAGGTTAATTTTGGGATTTGAGATTGAGAAGGAGGAAGGAGAACAAAAAAAACCAAACAGTATGGAAATGAGGGGAGGGAGGAGATGGAAACAACATGATGAAAATAACTTGCTAAGTCATCTGCCACACACACAAAATGAACGGACGTTTGGGAACAATTAACGGTGAGGACTCAATTGACACAATTTTAAAAGTTAGAGGACCAACTTGCCACTTTTTAAAGTTAAGGGAGTAAACTGGACCCCGAGGTAAAGTTAAGAGACGAAAAAAAATATTTTACATAAATATATTAATATAAAAATCAAGTCTAAACAATAATTTAAATATATTTAATTCAGCTTTCCCGTAACCATCCACCAATCTATAATCTATAATAAAATTTATTTTGTAATCAAATGTTAAAGTATTATTAGAACAAAAACAAAATAAGAGTTTAATTATCTTTACCTTCTTAAAAAATAACATATCAATATCAAGGTAATAACATTTTAAAAAGTGACATAATAATTACTATTATAACCTAATTACATATTTATAATTTTAGTTTTATAATATTATTTAAATCTTAAATTAAGAAATCATTAAAATTCAATTATAATAAAACAATTCTATGACAATAGAAACAATTTTGACCACTATACATTTTTATTTACAAATAATATTTTATTACAATATATGTTGAAAATTATAACCATATTCAATAAAATAAATGTGCAATTAAATTAATCGAGTTTTGTTTGTTAGTTATTATTATAATTGTAATTAAATAATAATAATTTAGTATTATTAGTATTATATTGGGGAAGAAGGACTACTACTACTCCTACATGTTAAGCAATTACTGTTGTGCAGAACTGTGTTTCTCCTCTGAGTTCTCTTCTCTCACACAAACACCAACCACAGAAAATTAAATTAAAATTAAATCAAAAACAAAAATAAAATAAAAATAAAACCTTGAATTCTGTTTTCAACCTTTCTCCTTCATTCATTCTTCTCTTTTCACTTTTCGCCATTCTCATTCTCATGGCTTCTCTCACCTCTCCTCTCTGCACGTGGCTTGTTGCTGCTTGCATGTCAGTCACGTGCGAATCTCACTCCTCTCTTTCTCCTCGTTCTCGTCGTCGCACCAAGAACCTCCTCAATCTCAATCTCAATCTCCCCCTTTCCACTCCCAATCGACACCGTTCTGGTAATTATTTACCTTTCTTTCTACTGATTTTGATTTTTTTAGTGAGTTATTAAGCATTTGCTTTTAATTGTTTCTTAATCTCTGTATTAGCTTTATTTGATGTTAGGTGTATACTTGTTTGTTAATTAATTAGCTTCTATATAGTTTCATTGGTTGGATTCATTAGAAATAAATACGGTTGGTTGGTACTGAGAACTTCTTCAGAGATGAGGACTTGTTAATGTTGCCTGTTTCTTTTAATTAATTAGTTAGATAGATAATTAATGTTCTTATTAATGGCACTTTTTTTTGTAATCTCATTTAAATGTTCATTTTATGCAGTACCAGTGAGATTTATATTGCGAATTTCGTCTGAAGAAAAAATTGAAAAATATAGACTTTGACTTCTCTAATCGATATATTGGATGTATGTTAAAAGTTGATAAGTTGGTAATGAGAGTTGTTTTTATTTTAGGATAAATAAATCTTGAAAAATATTAGAGAGTGTTGTGGTAGCACTTATAGTAGAGAAGATGGTGGAAAATAAACTTATGTGGTTTAGGCATGTAGAGATAAAGCATGTAGATTTAGTGGTAAAGAGAGTAGATCAGATGCAGTGGTAAGGAGAGTAGATTAGATGCAAAGATGTCAAACAACTAGAGGATGAGGAAGACATAAAAATACCGCGAGAGAAGTTATTTAGAAAGATTTTGTGATTAGCGATTTTGATAGAAGCACGGGCTTGGATAGAACATTATGGTGAAAGTTGATCCATGTAGCCGACCTCATTGAGTGGGACTTAGCTTGGTTGTTGTTGTTGTAAATCTTGACAAATATTAAGGATGCTATATATATTAGTTTATGGTAGAGACTATCTATTTAGCAATGACAAACATAACATTGACATGTTGACAATGTAATCACATGTCTTAGTTTCCGGCACTAGACATGACTTTGATATGAAGTGTCGGTGTTATTTAGGAGAGATTTCATCATGTGCCCTGTTGCTTCAAGAATATAAACTTAGTCTTTGAATATGCATGCATGTTTTGTGGGTTAGTATGTTAGTTAAGGTCATGTGTATATTGTGATCAACTTATCATTCTTAGTATATGTTTGCTTCAATGTGATATGTTTTGAAGCAACTTTTTGTTTTAGGTTTATGGTGATATAGTTTACCTAAACCTAAGCATATTCTTGGACATTGGTTGCAATTTCTGCTCTAATTTAGTGTACACATTAAGATTATGATTTTTTGCCGATTAAAACTGCATATCTTTTACTTCTTTCTGAATGGAAGGAACTGGGTATTCACTTTATTGTAAGGATGTTGGCATTGTTTTCTTGTATGATTAGTAGAAATTGGCTCCAAATTTGAACTCTAAAGTTGTGATGCTGATGTTGAAGGAAGCCACTTTCAAGTCTTGATCTACTGTTTACTGTCAATTGTTATAATAGTTACTTACCTATGCCTCGCGTTTTATAAACTTTAAAGGTAAAGTAAAGGCCGTAGCTTTAGAACCTGCTCAAGAAGGCACAACAACGAGAGAACCTCCTTTAAAGCAAAGGCGAGTAGTGGTGACGGGCTTGGGCGTGGTCACGTCACTTGGTCATGATCCAGATGTCTTCTACAATAATTTACTTGATGGTGTTAGTGGGATAAGCGAGATCAATGCTTTTGATTGTGCGGAATTTCCAACGGTAACAATATTTCTTTCGAAGTTTATTTGTATTCTTTGCCTTCTGTAGCTTTTGGTCTTAGTATTCTATATTTCCAGAGGATTGCTGGTGAGATCAAGTCTTTTTCAACTGATGGCTGGGTGGCGCCAAAGTTTTCAAAAAGGATGGATAAATTTATGTTGTATCTGCTGACAGCGGGGAAAAAAGCATTGGTTGATGCTGGAGTTACTGGAGATGTAATGGATGAATTAGATAAAGCAAAATGTGGTGTTTTGATTGGCTCAGCTATGGGTGGGATGCAGGTAATCATTCTTGAAAATCCGAAATGGCTTTAATCTGAAGTGTTGGAATCACCTAAGATACGATGCTTGAGCATACTGAGAAAAGAGACTGTTGTCCCATTCAGTAGTTTACTTTATATATTAAACCATAATAACATTTTTAGGAAGGTGTTGTCTTTGTTATGGTGTGAAATGAAATTACTTTCAAATGCGATCCTAGATGGGGCAAGGTGTTAATATTATGTAAGTTGATTGCTTTGATTTATTGACTATTTTGTTTTTGTTGTTTATGTTGAACAGGTTTTTCATGATGCCATTGAAGCTTTACGAATCTCATATAGGAAGATGAATCCTTTTTGTGTACCTTTTGCAACCACAAATATGGGTTCTGCCATGCTTGCAATGGATCTGGTCTGTTTGAATAAATAAAATTAAGCACATATTATGGACACCATAACTGGTGCCTTGTTCTGTCTTAAGCTTCCGAAAAATGATTTTTTTTTTTAATGAAAAATGCAGGGGTGGATGGGCCCAAATTATTCAATCTCTACAGCGTGTGCTACAAGTAATTTTTGTATATTGAATGCTGCAAACCATATAATTAGAGGTGAAGCTGTAAGTATTCAACTTCAACATTTCCTTGTATGATTGTGGATTTCTCACATTTTTCTAACTTTTCTCTCTGAGAACTTTGTTGTTTACAGCGTTATGGTAATTTTTACTGAAAGACATAAAGTTTTGAGTTTACCTATGCAGGACCTGATGCTTTGTGGTGGTTCAGATGCTGCTATAATACCGATTGGTATTCTGTTTTTACCAAATATTTGTGGCTTGCAAGAAGTTATCTTGGCTTAAATATAATATCAATTCAACAATCTTTGGTGTAGGTTTGGGTGGCTTTGTAGCGTGCAGGGCACTTTCACAGAGAAATGATGATCCTACTAAAGCTTCACGCCCGTGGGATACTGTAATATCATAATGCTTTCTTGTTTTCTTTTTCCATTATTGTTGCTGAGTTTTCAGTAGTCTTTTTTGACAGCCTATAAATCTATAATACCGCTGAAAGTTGGACCCTGCAAAAAGATTTAAAATTTCACTGTCTATAATTTGAATTGGAAAAATCCTTGAGGAATGAAAAAGAGAAATCGTGAAGGCATCGATATGAATAAACATTAGTGAAAAGTTTTACTTTATACCTGAAATGAGCAAAATTTTCAGCTTGTGCTTCAATCTCTAATTATTTAGACAACTTTTGACAAAGTGACAGATGCATCAATTGGAAAGGATACTAAATTACTAATTACTAAAAAATTATAGTGCTTGTAGTTTGGTCTGTATTTTTTTTCTTGTTCTTGTGTTGCACTTCTTTTGTTAACTATTAGTTTAACTGTGTGATATCGCAGAACCGTGATGGATTTGTCATGGGGGAAGGTGCTGGAGTTTTGCTTTTAGAAGAATTAGAGCATGCAAAGGTACTTATATTTTAGTCTAACAATTTAGAAATAAAGCTCAACTTAATTTTACTGCATGATGTAGAACAATAATGTGTTACTTATTTACACAATTGACTGATCGTCCCTCATTTCCTTTCAAAGGTATATGAACACACTGATGAATCTGTTGTTGTATCCCGTGTTAGAATCACGCTTCATACTTATTTCCATCAATGCGTAATCACTTTCATCACATTACGCTGTTTTGGAAAATCTTATATTCAACTAACTGATATTGGCATCTAATGTTTTATATTTCAGAAAAGGGGAGCCACCATATATGCAGAGTTCCTTGGTGGAAGCTTCACCTGTGATGCATACCATATTACTGAGCCACGTCCTGATGGTAAAATTCTGCATCTTTTTAAGGCCAATTCCTTTCAGCTGATTTTAAAAACGTAAATAGCTGGTAGGTTTTCTGAAAATTTCTGGAGATTATAGACTAATATGTTGATTAAGTAATCTTATCCTCTTAGGGCTCCTTCCCCAAGTTTAAGAGGCCAATGGAATCATGTCCTAGGCTGCACGAGACTTGTATATGTTGATCAAGAATTTATTTATGCTAAATTCCACTGGCCTTCCTTTGCTTTCGTAACACATGTCAATTAATTTGTAAATATTATATTTACCCTAACAATAAAAATCCTTTTTGTATTACCCTAACAACCAACTTGGGAGGAATCCATTTAGTAAAGAAAACAAGAAAGAAATGCATTTAGGGGAGAAAACAATTTAATGAAAAAGGAGATATTTACTTCTAAACATTTGTGGAAAAACAATAAGAAGCTAAATCTTCAATATTTTTCTTCAACCTTGATTAAGGTAAAGTTCATTGCAAATCTTTAGGGAAAAATGTTCCTTGTTATTCTTACTGACTTCTCTCGCTCCATTTTTATCCATAATGCATAATGTTTTTGAATCTATGCCAAAGCTCTCATTCATGACATGAATTATTCTCATGTTAAACCATGTCCTATGCTCCTTCAAAACCAAAAATAATTCTACAAATTTAAACCGTTTTATTTGAATGTCCGGTTTTTCTGAAAAACTCAACTCAATTGTGACAGGCATTATTTGGGAGGTTCACAACTTTAAAGCTAGCTAGTGTGCACAATGGAACACGATAAGCGGCTATGAAAGCCTCTATCATCCATAACCCAGTAGACCACTTGCATCAGTGTGAATAAAGATATGAAGCACATACATATATGCAAATCTGGAAGACATTACACTGTCTGGGACACTGACACAGACAATGTCTAAAATGTAGGACATGAGGACACTGTACACACACATGTATAGGTAGCATATATGTTGAAAACGTAAAAGGCATCAATCCTCACTTCTCATATATTGTTATATGGTTAAGTTTATCCCCTCTCACTTCTCTTGCTTCACTTGATATGCTCTGTATATGTTTTGGGTACAATGATTAATAGAGGAAGGAGCAGTAATTTTAAATGAAGTGCATTGGAGAAATGGATATCTTTTTTAATTTTTTTTGAGTTTCAACCTCTTTAAACCTAATTTTATGTTGCTTTTTCTGAAAGTTATGTTTAACATTATTTATATATTTTTTGTAAGAGTCACGTCTTTCAGGTTCCAAGTGTTATTTTAAGCTGATGAAATATAATTCTTTAATAAGACACCTGATAAGGATTACGAGACATGTATTTTATGAGTGTCATATGGTGCCGGTATTGGAAGTGTTCAACCCAACATCTAAATAAGGAGAAGTGGGTCTACTTCATGAGAAAGAAAAAAACAGCTTTTTTGGAAGATTGGTTTCACCATAGATACTGATGTTGGAAAGTTTATCTTAATTGCAGTCCACCCCGAGCTTCCTTAATGGGAGGCATTTGGGTTGCCTTCATTACAGCCTTAACACCTTTGTTGTGTTGGGTGTGAGAGGGTGGGTTTAGTCCCACATCACCTAGACATATGGCTTTCGTAGTGCTTATAAAACTTAGATAGTCCTCACCTTACATACCAATTTTGTAAAGTTAGATTCAACCCAAATACTAAGATTTGAATATAGTTTTCTGTTTTGTTGCTGTCAAAGAACACAGAACACTCGCACTTTTCTGTATGATTCTCACATTGTAATGTCTTTTTGAAACAAAGTAGTGTCCTGGGTGAGTACTTGATTCATGAATTTGTTAAGAAAATTTGGTTCTATATATCCCTGCAAATCATATCTTAATTATGCATGAACTTGTGTTTCTTTATTCCACATCTACAGGGGCTGGTGTTATTCTTTGCATTGAAAAGGCATTAGCTAATTCCGGTGTTTCAAGGGAGGATGTGAACTACATAAATGCACATGCCACATCCACACCTGCTGGAGATCTTAAGGAGTACCAGGCTTTGATTCATTGTTTTGGCCAAAATTCTGATGTAAACTTTATTTCATGTGTTTATTACTATATGCTTCCTAACCACTTTAAACGCAACTATAATCTTTTTCCCTTTTATTTCGTTTGATCTATGCTACAGCTAAGAGTGAATTCGACGAAGTCTATGATCGGTCATCTACTAGGGGCAGCAGGTGGTGTGGAAGCCGTAGCAACTATACAGGTGAAAACTAATGTGTCACTTGTTTATGAATTTGTTCTAATAACCCAAGTGTTGTGACAAAAAAGTTGAGGATTTTTCTTCTTTCTTTTTTCTGCATGTAGGCAATAAAGACAGGGTGGGTTCATCCTAATATCAATCTAGAAAACCCAGATGAAGCAGTGGTATGTACTTGTTTGTATTTCTCTCCGATGCTTACTGTAGGAGCACATTTTTGTTTTGAAATGAAGTTTATAATTAGGGACATAGGTGGCATCGTATTTGGGGTTCATCAAAGTTATCTAATTTGTTTAACTGAAAACAAAAACCAGGACACCAATGTGCTTGTGGGCCCAAAGAAAGAGAGACTGGACATAAAGGCAGGCTTGTCTAATTCATTTGGTTTTGGTGGCCACAATTCTTCAATCATATTTGCCCCTTTTAAGTGAAAAAACCGATTTTACCAAGTGTTTACCTTCTTATCATCATTAACAAGGTATGTGGAGTTTCAGGCACATATTCCCTTGCTCCTTTTCTGCTCTATTTTAAGGGTTTGTTTGAATTGACACGAGCTTTTAAAAATAGCTCATGACATGTTCATAGGTTTTTTCCCACTTATTTCCATCAGCTCTCCAAGATAACACCGCCTATGATATTAAGCAGTCAATTAAGACATTTATCCAAACATGACTGAAGTCTTTTTATCTTGCAGTTGCTGAGTAACCAGGCAATGTGTTGCATTCGCGTACTCTTTATACTACTCCTTTGCTTGAGTGAAAATGCCTGTGGTGTGGATTGCTTACCTGGATGATCGATATTTTCTGAAATTGCCAATGAGATGCAACTCTACAATCAGAACTTCCAGAGATTGTTTGGTGAGATAAAATTGTGTTTATCAGTTGGTGAAAAAAAATCCTGTCTAACCATGAATGACTAGAGTAGGAATTGACTTTTGATGTAACCGTTAGACAATCACTTATGGGAACATTGACATTATTTAATTGAATGTTAAGAGAAAATGTGGATTTTGGGCTGACAAGATTATATGGGGTATTTTCATTTTGAGGTTGATTTCACTTTAATTACCAGTATGTATTTTGCGGTCTGCATATCCTATTTCACTTACAAAAACCGATATTGTTAAGATGAACATTATTATCAACAGGGTTAGAACTGTACTCAATGTTGTGCGTGTGAGTTTCTAATGGTAATAGTTATTACCCCATCGTCTAATTAGATTAGATCTATGTTGACATTTGAAACCTACTATGGTTATTTCATTGTCCTCTAAATTGATCTACCCTCTATTGATCTGCCCCTTTTTTCTTCTTCATGTGAAACACGATTTGATTGTATTGAAATAGATATTGATGTTTATTTTGACAATATATTGATGCTTTAATCTTTAATATATTGTGGACTCTGTTTTAAAGATCATATAGCTGTGAAACGGGTTAACTTGGTTTATCAAGTTTGGCTCACCATAAATTTAGGATAATTGCTCAATGCACACATCAATTGTTACCGCTGGAAACATGTTTTGAGCGTATAAGGGTGAATTAAGAAATGATTTAAATCGATCAGTTGGTTTTCTAAACATAATTGTTTAAAAGATGGTTTTGGTTGTGTCACTCATCATGCTCTTAGGGTCCGTTTGGTTGGAGGTAGATGGAGGAGAGGAGAGGGGAGGAGATATTTTAAAATATATTTGTTTGGTTCATTTTTTATAAGGAAAGGATAGGGGAGCAAAGTTCCTCGTAAACTCACTTTTTGTTCCCTTTCAAATGGGTGGGATTTGAAGGAGAGGGAAGATTCATTATTTAAAATTTTATTATATTTTTTAATTTATTCTTAATTATTTATTTTAATTCTAAAATTGTCCTTATTTTTTCTCCCCTTCAATTTGTTTATGTTATGTAGACCAAACTGAATACTATGTACTAGTTGCATATAATTTTTTCTAAGATTATAAATTATATGTTAAAACTTTAATACTATTTTTATTTACGAAAAACTTTAATAGAATTCAAAATTATATGGTTTTGTAGGATAAAAATTATAGTAAAGTTCAACTATTTTCTCATATAAGATGATTCATATTAATTTGGTTAGGTAGTAGACAATATGAATAATATTTATACTGGAAGACTAATCAATTGAATAACTAATCAATTGAATAACGCATAATATTTGGATGCGATTTGTGATAAAAATATTTTTTATGAATTTTTTAGGATGTGATTTGTGATAAAAAAGTGAACTTTTAAAATTGCTTGTTCATTTTTTTTAACATTCTAACATTCTTTTATCTCTTTTTAATTATATAAATTTTGTTATTGGGTTAGATGGATTATTAAGATAAAAAAATTATTATTAGCAAATAGTTTGATTTATGTCGAAGAGTTATATTTCAACTAATATGTATTGTTGTTTACCGTTATGTTCAAATATCTTGTAAGGATAAAAATGTAATTTAGTTTTAAAATCCCTCCCCTCCTCTTGCGAACCAAACATCTCCTCCCTTTCTCTCTCATTCTTTGAACCAAACATACATTTAGTTAAAATACCTCATCTCAAATATCTTGTAAGGATAAAAATGTAATTTAGTTTTAAAATCTCTCCCCTCCTCTTGCGAACCAAACATCTCCTCCCTTTCTCTCTCCTTCTTTGAATCAAACATACATTTAGTTAAAATACCTCATCTCCCTTCCCTTCCCCTCTATTAAATTCTCTCCCCTCCCCCTCCTTTCGTTGAACCAAACAAACCATTAATCAACAATGGTTGACTTGAGTCATGTAAGTCCAAATACCATTTATCAGGGGAGGATTTTTTCTAATTGAGTTGCACGTTACACTAAAATTAAGGGATTAGTTAATGCACCATATATATATTGATACCACACAGTAACAAATTTAAAATATTTTTTAATTTTGGAGATGCATCTTCGGACGCATTTTAAACACAGATGATCCATGTTAACTTTAATTCACGCTTCAGATTTTGTCTAATTTGTTTTCGGAAACGTATCTCTGTAAACTTTACGGAGCTGTATTTCTGAATCATACTGAAACATAAAGAATCACAAAACCAAAAAGATGCAATACAGAATGAAAAGTAAAATTAGCATTGATAACATAAAAAGCAAAACATTATATAGATAATCGTCAACATAAATTGAACATCATATTTCAATATTCAGGTGGACGCTCCAACATCTTCACAATATTTTGATCGATCTCATAATTGTCGCATCCGTCTAGGTCAGAAATTTTGCTTTGTAACGGAAAAAGTATTCCATATAGCCCGTAAATTTGCAAGTTGCTAAACTCAATCTTCCATTCATTGTCAATTAAGGGTGAACAGTACTCGAACTTCTCAATTTTTCGATTGTTGTAGTATGCTAGGAGACTCTTCAGTATGTATTTCAGATCTGCAAGAGAGATGTACTCATTGAACTTAAATTCAATTGAGGGTTTCACGCCGTTAAAGTAGACATTTGCGAAATGTCAATTGATGTTCATTATATTGTAATGTATTTTAGTAAGAAGCATGAGACAAGAGCCTCGTACTTATTGTAGTTCTACACAAATATTGACCTTAAATTTTTTTATCTTGTACCAGAGGATGTTCTAGAGATGCATTTCCGATACCATCCTATTATGTTATTCTAGAGATATATTTTCGAAACCATGCATCACATAATCAAATTCAGGAACAAAAAAAGATAACCTGTTTTAGAATGAAAAGTGGAGAAATTTTCTAGAAACCTAGACATCTATTGAACCCTTTGAAAATGTATATATTTTACTTCATTAATATAATACAAGAATACATACAAAACATGTCTAATCACATAAGTACATTGTTGAGTATAAACTAAAATGAATTGAAACACACGTCACTGTCTAAATTTATGAGTGGTAATGCCTTTGACTTTGTTTATTTGATCCTCTTTCAATTTTGCTCAGCTTGGCGAACTCATGCATCTTTTCCAAAATATGATCCAACAAAGTCTTAACTTTCGTTGTTAAATAAGCTGTCCACTCCGGTGATATCAGCGGTATAAGGCATCCCGATTTCAAATAAACTTGAATAAAGTGTCGTGGTTTGAAAATCATCCAACACACATAATACGATCATTTGGATTTGGAGGCAGGGTAATGCCCAGTGGATAAAATATTTCAAAAAAAAACCGTATATTGCAAGATCAATACACACTCTTTCATACGCACTTGATATAAGATAGCCAATTTCAGGGAAGAGCATCCATTTATCCTCCGGTGTCAGTCCAATAATGCAAGAAACAAGAGATTCATAAATTGCATCAAAATTTTCATTTTTCCTGTATAGTCGTAGGTATGATTATTATGGCCTCTCAACTCTTGGATAAATTGAAGGTGGACAAGTGTATGATCCTCTTCTCCTTTACCGAGCAAAACATAAACAACTCAAAAACTGTAGTTACTGTCACCCTCAACATTGATGATCCGTTCAATGTATTTGTGCATAGAAACCAACATCCCTTAAATGATTGGAATTTTTTGGTGGAGGCCATGATTGAGGTAGTTTGCTAATATAAGTTGATAACATGAAAACGTATCGTGTTTTTAGGCTCATAGGGCATGTTGTTCACTGTTATTTTACTTTGTTTTATTGCTTTTATGTTGTGTCTTGTTTTTTTTGCATGTTTTAATAAGTGTCGGACAAACTCGCAAAGAAGTCGAAAAGGGAGCAAAAGAGCAGAAAAATGACCTTTCTGATGCATGGCGTTCGCCATTACCCAAATGACGTCCTCCATGTACCATGTCCACGTCATTTAATGAAGCACACAATGGTGTTCACCATTGTCCTAATGACGTTCACCATTCTTATGCAGAACTAGAGAAACGTGGAGTTAGTTTATACTCCCTCTCCCTACTTCTCTTTTTCTCCTCAACTTCCCTGCACGTTTGAGGGAGTTACCTAGCACATTGTTACTCTATATATAACAGTTTTCTTAACATTTCAGAGCATCCAAGTCGTGCGGAAGCGCTGTCAAAATTCATTTCTAGTATTAGACATAAAATTTACTTGTAAAAGTGACAATAACTCACATCGAGGGATTGTCACACAAATTCTGTTTTTATTCAATTCTTGTACTCTTGGATAACAACAATCTTGTCGGAATTAATCAAAGTATTTTATTTCTTCAGGTACCGCTTTGTTTTTACTTTACAGGTTTTATCGCTTTAATTGTATTATTGTCATCACATTATTTTACTTATTGACATGCGGCCTTTAAATTCAAATGCTCTGTTTATGTTGTTCTTATTTGAAATAATGTCTTGCTAAATTTGTCTAAGTCTGGCGTATGAGGACCATTGCTACCGATGGGACTCGGTAGAAAATAATAGGCGCGAAACATTAAATAAATTCTGTTTTGGTTTTAGCTTCCAAGTGTATGTCTTA